AGAGAGGGCCAGACCCCCGCCCCAACAAAGTCCTTATAGCACAGTCCCACCTCCAGCCTTAGCCAGCCAGCATCACAGGCGTGCCCAGGCACTGAGAGGGAGACCTCAGGACCTTCCCATGTAACCTCAGCAATGCCGATCACTGCATTACCACTGCCCCCACCTCTGGCATCTTATGTTTCTTATGCTTGGGGTTCATTCAGTTTCTCAGATCTGTGGTTTTACGGTTTTTCTCAACTTTGTAAGAAATTTGACCAATTCAAATATTTTTTCTGCCCTTCCCACTCTATCAGGGATTCCAAATAGTCTTATATTAAACTGCCTGGAGGCATTCCACGGTTCACCAATGCTTTTTTTATTTGGGGGATTATTTTTTCTGTTTCTTTTTGGATAGTTTGTATAGCTATATCTTTAGGTTCACTGACCTTTTCTTCTGTCATGTCTAATCTGCTGGTAATCCCATCATTGTGTTCTTCCATCTCAGACATTATAGTTTTCATCAGTAGACATTTCACTTGGACTTTCTACCTTCCAGGTATCTTTTTAACATTTGAACATATGAAATACAGTCCAAACAAACTGTTTTAATATTCTTGTCTGAAAATTCTAATGTCGGTTCTGGATCAGTTTTGATTGGTTGATTATTCTCCCCATTTTAGATTGTTTCTTTGCATATCTGGTCATCTTTGGTTAGATGTTAGACATTTTTACCCTGTTGTATACTTTATATTCCTATAAGCATTCTGGACCTTTGTTCTAGGATGCAGTTAATTACTTAGAAACCTTGATATTTGGGTCTTGCTTTTATGACTTGTTAGGTAGATCTGATCACTAGACAGTGATTCATATGATTCTAATTATTATCTACTACTAAGAAAACTTCTTCAGTTTCTGTCTAATACCCTGTGCCATGTGTGGTTTTCCAATCTGGCTGGTGGAAATAGGCATTGTTTCTAGCCCTGTGTGAGTACCAGACACCATTCTCTAAGCCTTTCAGGTGTTTTGTTTGTTTGTTTGTTTGTTTGTTGTTTCCCTCTCCAAGCATAGGTAGTTTCTTCAGATGCATACTTTGCCAAATACTCAAGGGTGACCCTCTGCAGGTCCCCCAAATTTTTTCTCTGTGCTATTTTCTCCTTTATGGTACTCTCATCCTTTTCAGTCCTTCAGTTCTGGTCAGACCCTTGGTTCTATCTCCTCCATTCAAGGAGTCCATCAGGCCTCACATGGTGCCCCCTGCCTGCAGTGGCACCTGGAGAGTCTCTCAAGATAGGATGTTGAGATGTCACTGGGCTCAGCTCTTTTGTTCCTGCCTCTCAGGGACCTCTTTTCTTCATTGCCTCATATCCAAAGTTATGGAAAGTATTGTCCAGCCTATTTTGTCCATTTTTTAAAAAATTTGCTTTAGTAGTAATGGCAAACCTAGTTCCCAATACTCCACCTTGCCTAGAAGAACAGGTTTCCTAATGTTAGATTTTAATGTTCTGTTGACTGGTTTATGCCTGCCTTTGAGGGAGAGAGCCCAATGCCCTGAGGAAAAACATGGCTGCTGGAGTCAGATCAACTCACACCTCTTCTCCACCACTTCCTAGTCATGTGTGCAAAGCCAGGTTAACCTCTCTGGCCTCCATTCCTCATCTATAAAGTGGAGGTGATGATATATGTGTCTCATTTTTTGAGAGGATAAAATGAGATAATGCTTTTAAAACATAACACAGTTCCTAGAACTCGGTAACGTGTTCAGTACATCTTAGCTAATCTTGTCATTTTATTTTAATTAGCATAAGACCTCAATAAACACTTGTCAGATGAGTGAATGCCGGCTCTTGGCTCCCAGTACCATGAATGTCATCGTCATAGGTGCACTGCGACCTGAGGTTCCAGTGGGTGCACTCGGGGAGCTGGAAACATTAACTCATGCTCTCTGAATGAGGGTACATCCAGGAGACAACCTCCCACTATTGCTGTCATTCTGAGGGTTTTCATCTCCTAAGTAACAGACCTGAGTTATTTTTATTTTTCAGGGGAAGACAGGAAGACCCCCAGCGAATCAAATAGCCCCTCTTCATCTTCACTATCAGCTCTGAGTGATTCAGCCAACAGCAAAGACGATTCTGATGGCTCCCAGAAAAACAAGGGTGGGAACAACTTGCTGGTCATCTCTGTTGTACCTGGGAGTCAGCCCTCATTGAGCAGTGAAGAAAAGCCAGAGAAAGGTGAGGGAGGAGGTGGATGTGTCCTGCCCACTCTTTC